AATTATATTTACATAATAAATATAATTTTAATCACTAAGTTCTTCTTCATCACTGAAATATTTGCTTTTCTTTATCCTTGGGCGTCTTGAATCATGTGATGTTGAGGGGCCCCCTGAACTGGGTTTCCATTTTTTTTGTTCTTCTTCAATTTTGGCTTGCTGTAATGTGATTGAGAAAACAAAACAAAATCAGGAACCTAATATTATTTATGGTACATTAAAAACATGGCAAAAACATACCACGAATACCACCATTTCCCATACTCCCAGCCCATGCAAACAATAAGATACCCCCAGACTCCTAAGTTCTGTCCCAATCTCACAATGTTACTCAAAATTATCTTAGGCAATTTCTAAAAAATCTTTTTCTGTTGGGCTAAACTCACTTTGATTAAATAGTTCTGCTCAATTCTATAATGAAAACAATTTAAGATATAAAGTGTTGTGGGGCCCTTAAAATCTAGGAAGAACTAATGGAAACTTTTCATGCACACTACTCTAAGGATCTTAGAGAAACAGCTTCTCTCCTAAAGCACAGGGGGTGAAAGGGAAAGACAGAGGTTGCCCTGAGAAGATTATCAGTAAAGCAAGCAAGGAATATAAAATGATTAACCCAAGGCAGCTATCACATGCCTTTTAAAAAAACAATTTAGTACCTGGAATGCTATGGCTTGACTGAGGCTGTCAAGAGCAGGATCTTCCCCTTCATCTTCACTGTCTTCTACTTCCTCACTAAATCATTAAAAAAAAAATCAGAATGCAATTAACTAAGAGTAAAAAGACAAAAGCAGCATAATAATGTATTTCGCAAGAGTAGATATATATATACATTTCTTCTTCTGGTTCAGGAATTTTCTTCTTTTTCTTTTTTTCTTTCTTCTTTGGAGGTTCACGTTCTCCAAGCATGTTTTTAGGACAGGCGTAACTTAAGTGACCACTTTCCTTTTGTTTCCCGTTAAAAAGGAAAGGAAAAGTATTTGTTGTTATTTACAGAAATTTGTCTGGTACAAGTTTTTTAGAATTGAAAAAAAGAATATTCTAGTACTGGGAATATACAGAAGAAATTGATAGAACCCATTACTTTAATACATATTTAGAAGGAAGATTCTGTGATATAACCACAATTAAGTTACTTTAACAATTAGGGAGTTTTTGTACAATTTTAGTAGTTACACTAAAAGAAATAGTCTTTTCTTCAAACACTTTTAAGTCTCAAGATTCAAGGTATAAAACAATTCAAAATTTAAATGAATCATCTACTCTAAACATAAAAATTTTAAGTTATTTGATAAAATAGGGATAAAACTATTCCTGTTAATTTCCAAGATGCTGTTTAACATTCTGTTTTAAAAACAAAAATGTTTTCTTCTTTCCTTTTCATATTAATTATTTTCATTTTTCTCCTTCCATATCTAGACTACACCTGTACTATACAATTATAGTAGCCACCTAGCCACATGTGGCTACTGAGAACTTGTCTGAATTAATATGCCCTGTAAAGGTAAAATACACATTCAATTTTTGAAGATAAAGTGAAAAAAGAATGTAAAAAACCTCAATTTTTAAAAATATTAATTACATGTTCAAATGTCAAAATTTTTGATATATATTGGATTAAATAAAAGATATTAATTTTTACCTGTTTCTTTTTTAATGTGGCTACTAGAAAAATTTAAATTACATATGTGGCTTGCATTATATTCCCATTTGACAATGCTGGACTTGCCTATTATTCATAATGAGTCAAAACATTAAGCTGTAAAACATAAGAACTGAGAATTATAATTTGTACATTAGCTCACTACTTTTTTTTTTTTTTGAGACAGGGTCTCGCTCTGTCATCTGGGGCTAGAGTGCAGTGGCATGATCATAGTTCTCTGCAACCTCGAACTCCTGGGCTCAAGCAATCTTCCTGCCTCAGTGTCTGGAGTAGCTGGGACTACAGGCGCATGCCACTACACTTGGCAAATTTTTCCATTTTTTGGAGAGATGGGATCTCACTATGTTGCCGAGGCTGGCCTTGAACCCCTGGTCTCAAGTGATCCTCCCACCTTGGCCTCCCAAAGTGCTAGGTTTGCAGGCATAAGCCACTGTGCTCAGCCAAGTTAAGAGGTATTATGTTAGAGTGGGGTGTGGTGACTGAGCCAAGATTAAAACAATAGAAGAGAAAAATAATCATGCTTTTCAACTGTATGTAACAGAGCATCAAATCGATTGTGGACTCTTTATACCTAGGACATGGCTGACCCTCAAAGATGTTACTTACTGTTAATGAACTGCTGATAATATACAGTTAGAGAAGCATTTCCCAGATTGTGTTTTGGAATAATGGTGTACCAAAAAATGTTAACATATCCCATATAAAAAGAGAATTTATAGTGAAATAACTTGGGGAAAAACCAGGCTAAATAAATGTAAACAGTTTTGGGGGGGAGGTAAAAATTAAAGAAAAATAGAAAGGTACAAAATATAACAAATCTATGGATCCATAAACCAAAAGGAACCGATTAACAGATTCATCCAGAATTTCTCAGATAATTTAATATTTACTCTGAATATCAGGATACATACTAATCTGACCTATAACTACCCACCTCCTTCCCTTCTTTTATAAAACTCAGGACTTTGGAACATAGTTTCTAAAACATTTCCATAATAGGTTTTAGAATCATAGGAATTGACAGAATTATATGTATCCAGGACACTGCTTGCTCATTCTTTCTATTCATCTGTTTACCTTTATATTTTTTATTGGGAGCAGGTAGAGTGGCACTGGGGGAAAGGACCCCAAACCATTTCCCTGTATCTTCCATGTGATTTTGTAGCCAGGACAACGTCTCTCAGTGATTTACTCCCCAGCTTCCCATTAATACCTCTGGACTGTGTTTCTTAAGTATTTTATATAGTCACTTTAGAAAATGAAAGCTGTGAGACCCAGACCGAAATTCTCTTGGTACCATTATAGGCCTTGTACAAAGTTGTTCTGTGGTTGTATATGTCTTCAAATCACCAAAACTTTAAATGGATAATGACAGATCATGAGGAGAACTAGGGAAAAAAATGTGGGGATGGATATAATTCAGTTACAAAACATTAGTGGTACTAACAGGAAGAAAAAAATAAAAAACTTTGAAACACAATATCCCATAGAGGATGGGTCATATAATAATGTTGGCACTGAACTGTAACACTAATTGGCAAAATGTTACAGAAACAGGCAATATCCTATTAATGAAAATTTATGAGTTACTAAAATCTTTCAAGGCAGTGGTATAAGTAATTAGTGTAACACTTTTTAAACTAACCATTTTCAAAGATTTAGGAACTAGAGAAAATACCACTCTCAAGTTATCTCTACATACTACATTTCCATTGACTTAGATGAGTCTAGAGTCCCTAAATAAAACAACTTTCATAACCTGGCTTTAGCCAGTCAGAAGTTTTGGTGAGCACAAATAAAAGACTGATGTGAAAAATATCTTAAAGTAGATTATGGAAAGTTCCATTAAGTTTTAGGTTTACTCACCCCACATTCGTAACACTTAGATTTATCAAAGTAGTTTCGCCTTCGGATGAACTCAGCTGCTCTTCCATTGTCAATAGCAATGCTTGCTTTTATCACTCTACCAAATAACTAAACCAGAGAAAAATGTAAATGCAGAAGGATGTATTTCACTGAAAACTAAAACTAGTTCTTTGATCCCATTTTCTGAAATCTTCAATTCCATTTTATTTTTGGACTATTTTAGCAACTGCCACTTCGGTGCGATAAATTCTGTTCTGTGGTATTCTTATTCCTTAGAGTCCTCCAATGTGTTGGGAACCCCCTCCAGCTTTGGCCTCTTTTCCATAAGTTAGACACCCTCAGAATCTACAGATATCCATCAGACTTGACCATCTATGGCATCCCTACATTTTTGGCCTGGCTGAGCACAAAGGCTTTTGGGTTGAAAAACCTTGATGGGAATCAATGGCTTACCTGTTTGTTGTTTATTGCCCTGGTACAGTTTTGTGCAGAGTCTTTATCCAAAAATAAAATAAATGCAACCCCTTTACTCTTCCTGGTATCTTTATCCTTCATTATAGTAACCCTTAAATCATAAACAAATAGTCAGTTAGAATAGAGGTAGTGATAAATAAAACAGATATTAATACCTAGAAAACTCAAGTCTTTTAGAAATGGCTAAATAAAAAATTTATAAAATAAGAGAAATTAATATATTAAAAAAATCAGCTATCTCTTGAAAGTCATGGGATATCAAAAATGAGAATGAGAGAGTATGATTCTGACTTAACACAAGTGAGCACAGCTATGATTGGAGTTAATCAGAGGTTGAAGGGTGAAGTAAAAAGATTACAGAGACAATGGAATCTTTTTTTTTTTTTTTTGAGACAGAGTCTCACTCTTTTGCCCGGGCTAGAGTGAGTGCTGTGGCGTCAGCCTAGCTCACAGCAACCTCAAACTCCTGGGCTCAAGCGATCCTCCTGCCTCAGCCTCCCGAGTAGCTGGGACTACAGGCATGCGCCACCATGCCCGGCTAATTTTTTCTATATATTTTTTAGTTGTCCAATTAATTTTTTTCTATTTTTAGTAGAGACGGGGTCTCGCTCTTGCTCAGGCTGGTTTCGAACTCCTGAGCTCAAACAATCCGCCCGCCTCGGCCTCCCAGAGAGCTATGATTACAGGTGTGAGCCACCGCGCCTGGCCGAGACAATGGAATCTTGAAGAGTAATTCCTCTTCCAAACTAACTCCCTCACCCTGCAAACAAAAAAGGTATTTTTTCTACACAAAAAGTAAAATGAATTACTTATTTTTCCAAGTTTTAGAATCTAATTATATTCTTAATATTCTCCTAAAGAGTATTAAGTTTACTGGTTCTTAGCCCAGTCACCCATGTACGTGAGTGACAGGAATAGTAATGAGAGCAGAGCCTGCTCTTTCACCTGCCCCTTACACATCCCTAGTTCTGGAGGCCCTTGCTCACCACATGCCATTTAATATGCTTTAAAACCAGTGTTCAACAGGGCTGTTTGCAGAAATGGCTGATTCCAAGGCTGAAGAGGGGCAGGTAAAAGAAAAAAAGAAATGATGGGGCACAAGAATACAGAAGCCAGTGGGAAGGAGCTCCCACTGGTCAAATTTGGGACAGTTTGAGTGCCAAAATAATTAAATACCAGTAATAAATTATGAACCACACAAAAAGTAGGAATTCATAATTCTTACTGATAACAGACAAATAAATAAGCGGGGTAGAAGGGAGGGCTCTTGCTTACAGCAGAATGCCAAGGGATGATTGGTGAATGTAAGGAGTGCTGGAGTTGGAAGAAAAAACACTATTTGGCAACAATCATGGTAAAGACTGGATCAGGCAAGAACCATCAACAAGTGCTAAATCTAAAATGAATTTTTTTGTGGAGAAGGATATTTGTATGGTCTTAGAGTGTCTCCCATGGACTGCTTATTAATTGCAAAGGTAAAAAAAGTATATAGTGAAAGAAGTGGACAACACTTCGGGTGATCAAAATTAGTATCATAAGTGAGGGACAGATGGCCAGTGTATGCATCCAGATGTGGTATTCTGAGAAGAACACAACATCCTCTGGGTAGTATGACAAGAACATGTAAGCTGAGTCTAATAATGAGGAAACATCAGCAAAACACAAAATGAGGGGCAAAAAAGAATGGGGGATAGGCTATATTCCTTACAAATGTTCCAGACTTTTAAAGGAGGCTAAAAAGATAGGAGAGTTAAAGGCAATACTTAACTCTGGAGTCCATAATAGAGGGAAAAAATGCCATGTAGGACATTATTAGGTCAACTCACAAAACTGGAACATGGATGGTTGATCCAATAAAAGTATTATATCAATTATTTATGAAGTTGGTAACTGTACTGTGGTTATGTAAGATATATCCCTTTTAGGAAATAACACATTGAAGTAATTAGCAGTCATTTAACCTACCCTTAAATGACTCACAAAAACAAACCGTGGGTGTATACATACAAACATATATACACGCAGGGGGAAAGAGTACCAATGATAAAGTGCATCGGGGAAATGTTAATGATAGCTGAATCTGGATAAAAGATATTTTTGTATTTTTTGTACTATTTTTGCAACTTTTTATAAGTTCAAAATTATTTCCAAATAGTAAAAGAAAGACAATGTTCAAGACAAAGCTTAAACATTTTTTAAAATTTGAATTACAGGAGAGAATAGATAAGAGGGCACAAGTGAATAAACAGTAATTTTATTGTTACATTTCTCATATTAAAATTATTTTATTTGGGTTTAGGTTAAGGCACATATATAGTCATTGGAATGAAACGGATAAAAAGATGCCACCGTATTAAGAAAAGAGATGTCTAATTTCATAAAAAATAAAAAAACTTAAGTTGAAACAATTTAGGGGAAATTGGACGACTAAAATAGTTTAGTTTCTCAAAAGAGTGCATCTGTTTATTCAATGGGCTGAGAAGGAAAGAAGAAAAGTCAAGCACTTGAAGGCTCAAGTTTAGATTGGTTATCTTCAAAGCCACCAGAGTTATTGAGGATATGCAGGAAAGTTTTTAACCAATTTTGACAGAAATATTAAGTAAGACATTTGCTTAACTTTTTGGAATTTTTCATGTTTTTGAAGGCATAAATCATTTGTTAAAAAGTACTATTTCAGAAGAAGTGTTAGCTTTCTATTCCATCCTCAGTTAAGGATCTCTCACATCTGTCCCCTTTTTTTCCATTCTCTTTGCTTTTTTCTTGTCAATGGTGGCATTATTGTTTCAACAGTCTATTCTTACTGGTGCCTTCATGTTAATTCTCTCTCATATACTAGTGAAAGAGTCTTAAAATCACATCATTCCTTTGCTCAAAAATCTCTGGTTAAGTTGCCTATCCTTTGTCCAGCAATCAATTTCCTTTATGATTTGGCTCCCACCTTCCTCATCTTTCACTACTTATTCCCAGTCACAAATTATGAGGTCTAGCCAAAATAAACCAGTCATGCTTAGGTGTAGCATGGCCTGTACGTCCCCAAATTGGTGTGAACACAGCGTCTATCTTCTTTCACCTCTCAAACGTTGTCCATTAAAATTTTCCTCATTCTTCAGGGCTCAGATCATGTACCAGTTCCTAATCTCTTCAACTGGAAATAATTTCTCCTCTTTCTGCTAGTCTCTACTGAATTACTTGTTTATACAGAAACCATGCCTCATCTCACTTATTTTAATATAACCTCCTTTAAGGCTGTCTCTGTAACCTGTACATGCCTAGCTCAAAATGTTGAAACAAAAAGATAGATATAAATGGGAAAAGTAGCTTCTCAAAAGACTGCATTTATGTGTTCATTCATTTTGTCATTCAGCCAATCCATAAGCCTCAAGCCCAGGCATTAAGCACTGATAGTATAGTAGTTTCTACCCTCAGGAAAAAATTTACAGTCTAGTGATAGAGACAAACCTACAAACCAATTATAATACAATACTTTGATAGAGATACCTTCTATGGTAACAGAAAAAATGATTACACCAAGGATTTAAAAGGACAAATCTACTAAGATTCCCATGTTTTTGGCATGGGAAAAGAGGTAGAGAGTGGCACCATTTCCTGATATAAGGTATATAATATACCATTTAAGCGCATAATTTGAAGCATATACTAATTTGGAAAACCTGGCTGTCATTCATAACACCTCCTTCTTGCTCACCCAATCCTTATATACAAAGTAAGCATAACACCAAGTATATATTACCTATGTTACTTCCTACAAATCTCACTAAGTATTACCCATTTTACTTCCTTAATGATCTCTCAAATCTGGCCACCACACAAATCTGCCTGTACCTCTCTACCTACACTATCTTAGTCCAAATTTCTCCCCTGGACTACAGTTACAGTTTTCAGACCAATCTCCTTGCATTTGCTCTTGTTTCCCTCCAGTCCAATCTTTACACTAAAGCCAGAATAAGCTTTTAAAAATTCAAATCATGTCATCCCTTGTTTAAAATTCTTCAATGATTCCTACTTAGGGTGAAAACCAAATATCTTGTAACACAGCCATCAAGCAAGATAAGGAAGCTGCTTCGAGCTCTAGACTCATCTTGTGCTTTCTCCTCCTTGCTCACTCATCTCCAGACACACTGGCCTTCCTTCTTTACCTCACTTTTTTGTGCCACAGGGCCTTTGCACAAGCTATTCCCGCTACCTGAAATGTTCCTCCCTTCTTTTTGCCTACTTAACTCTTACTCATCCTTCAGGTTTCAACTCAAAGGATACTGACTGACCTATGTAAGCCTTCCCTGACTCTCTAGACTAGATCAAGCCTTCCCTATTTATAGGTGCTTATAAGTCTGTCTCTAACTTCATGGCATTGTCATGGCTTATGATTATATATTTGTAAGCAGATTGATTCATTCTGGCAAAGAAGGGAAAAAAAGGTAAATGGAACAGTTAAGGGAGTAGGCTCTGGAATCAGACTGCTAGATTCAAATCTTGTCTCTACCACTAACTAGCAATATGACCTTAGGTTTACTCTGGGCTTCAGTTTTGTCATTTATAATATTAGGATAATAACAGTACCTGCCTTGAAGGGCAGTTGTGAGAATTAAATGAAATAATATACCTAAAGAGATTAGAACAATTCCTAGCCTATGTATGTATTCAATTAAGTGTTATATATCATCATCATTACTAGTGTTTTGATTGATGATGATGACTGTTCAAAATCTGAAGACCCAGAAATTTACCCAGAACCATATTTGATAATGATTTTTAATAGCAAAGTAAGTTTAAAATGAATAAACATATAAACAAATAAGCAAATAAACATCGACTGTTTAACATCCATTTATGGAAAGCTAGGAGAAAAATAACTAGTGAAGATAAATATGTACTAAATTCTTGGGATTTTAAATTTATACCAGAGTATATATTGGTTATAAGATAGACGTTGGTTAAAAGATAGTTAGAATGACAATATCTTGCTTTTACTTCATTGCCCCATAATATAGTTCCTTGATTGATTTTAAAGTAGTGAATTAAATATGAAAACCTCAAGTTCTTTTTGTCCTTTCTTAACTCTCAGCCCCAATTGCTTTTACCATCCATTACCATTTTTGTATGTTTCCAGTTTTCAATGATATCTAAGCTTTCTCTGAAAGCAGAGAATATGTTTTCTATTTATCAGCCTCATAAGTGCTTTGCAAGTCATATGCATTAAAATATTTGTCTTTACACTATTTGATAAATGGCAATCCATTTATAGTGTACTTGATAACACACCTCCTAGTAATCAAAATATTTGTTTAGTCAGAGCCTTTATGTCTTGTATTGAATAAAAGAATTAGTTTTAGTTCTTAGTAATACAGTGAGAAATTATAAAGACACTTTATACAAATTATGATATATAAAGGAAAAGCATTAAATATGAGGATATATCTTTATAGGACATGGAAAGACATTTATGATATAATGTTAAGTTAAAAAATCTACCGGCATTAAAAAAGTAATGGAGAAACAAATTCAGATGTAATTTTAAATGAAGTTTCAAAATTTAATGTGAATACTTACTTTACAACTTTGCCATACTTGGAAAATATCTGAAACAAAAGACTACATATTAATTTATAATTTAAGACCATAAAAAACATTACATTTTCAGGTTGTATATACAGACCAAATTCTTTGTTATAGTTTACAGAAAATTTAGCCTTCAGTCGATAAGGCAGGCCCTAGAAATATGTTTTTGGTGACTAGAATAATATTGTTATTGGAGTTATATGTCCTGCCTCAGTTTCTAAATTTCTGACAATGGAGTGGATACAGAGAAAAACACTACATGAGTGGCAGATCTAAGGCTTATATATTCCTATGTTCCTGAGGTATATCCATGGCAACTATCAACTCCACCATCGCACCAGCTAAATCTATGCTTCAAATCTCAATGTTGTAGAATATTACTATTCTTATTCTACCTCCACCACATTAAGCAATCACTGTTTAAGAAGACAGATCCTTACACTGCTTAAAAAAAATCAAACAGGCCGGCATAATGGCTCACGCCTGTGATCTCTGCACTTTTGGAGGCCGAGGCGGGAGGATTGCTTGAGGCCAGGAGTTTCAGACCATCCTGGGCAACACAGCGAGACTCTGTATCTACAAAAAATAGAAAAATTAGCCAAGCATGGTGGCACATGTCTACAGTCCCAGCTAATTTGGGTGGCTGAGGCAGGAGGATTCCTTGAGCCCAGAAGTTTGAGGCTACAGCAAGCTGTGATGATGCTACGGCACTTTAGCCCAGGTGACACAGAGAGACCTTCTCTCAAAACAAACAAAACGTATAAAAACAAAAAAGCTTTTACAATGAAAAATTATTTCCATGAGTCTTCTTTCCTCTGCCCACCATTAGTATGTTGGTGGTACTTTATAGTTGGCCCTTTCTCCTTTTACTTCTACATCTTGACCCTAAGCAATCTTATCTATTTCTACAATTTCAGTCATTACCTATATACCAACAGTTCCTATTTATTGTATAAAAAGTCTTTTAGGATATGTTTATATATGCAACCAATAATGAATTTTTTAGCTCTGTGATTAAGTTGTGTAATGCCAGAGTGTAGCATATCTGGATTGCAGTGTTAGCAACACTGGATTCTGAAGGCCAGCATAGTTTTCTATATAACATTTTCTAATGGCTTCTCATTTCACTCAGAGTGAAAGCCAGAGTCCTTACCATGATCTATACAGGCCCTAAAAGGCATCTCAAGTGTGTTTACCTCTGATTACCCCTCCTCTTCTACTGAAATGCTGGTCGTCCAGACATCTGTACAGCTGCCTTTTACTTGCTTCTGGTCTTTACTCAGGTCACTTTCTCAAGAAGGGCCTTTCTGACCACCCTATATAATATTTCACTTCTGTTCCCAGCTTACCATTTAATAGCCCTCCTTTCCTGCTTTATTTTTTCTCCTTAGCAGCTAACATTTTAGTATCTCCTTAGTATCTAACACATAATTTGATTTTTTAATATTTTGCATTGTTTCTCTCTCTTGCTATACTGTGAGTGCCAAAAGCAATTTTTATCTTTTTGTTCACTGATATGTCTCTTGTACCTATAAGAGTGCTCAGCACATAATAAACATTGAATAAATACAATAAGTCTCTATTTTGATACAAAGAAAGTAAAATTAATTTCCTCCTCTGTTCTTTGAAACTCAAGCTATCTTAAAAAACCAAGTGCTAGGTCGGGCGCTGTGGCTCACGCCTGTAATCCTAGCACTCTGGGAGGCCGAGGCGGGTGGATCGCTCAAGGTCAGGAGTTCGAGACCAGCCTGAGCAAGAGTGAGACCCCGTCTCTACTAAAAAATAATAGAAAGAAATGATCTGGACAACTAAAAAAATATATATATAGAAAAAATTAGCCGGGCATGGTGGCTCATGCCTGTAGTCCCAGCTACTCGGGAGGCTGAGGCAGAAGGATTGCTTGAGCCCAGGAGTGTGAGGTTGCTGTGAGCTAGGCTGACGCCATGGCACTCACTCTAGCCCGGGCAACAAAGCGAGACTCTGTCTCAAAAAAAAAAAAAAAAAAACCAAGTGCTACGTATCGCCTATGGAGCATCTCTCTACTTAACATCCACCCAAAGTAACAAAGAGAACAGAACACTTGGAAGAAGGATTCATGTTATCCCTTCCAGGTCTTCTCAACCATCCACCTGGAAGACAGGTAAAGCAGAAAATTTTGTTCTTTGTGATGTAAAGAGGTAAAAGAATATGTTGGAAGGGATTTTTTTCTCCAACCTCAATCTCCCATATCCTGAACTGAAAACAAAATGTACTAAAATTGTTAAGCTTTTGCCACATCTGTTAATTAAGATACACTTTCAGAACTTGAAGGTTAGGAAAGGGATCTGTTTGCTCCCATCAGTCCTTTCCTCCAGAATCTCCATCCTGCTACCAGTTTCAAAAGCCAAGTAAGAAACCAGGAAAAAAATCAGCCTATCACAAGTTGCTCCCACCATTAACACTAGTTGTGTCTTCTGTGTTTATAAAGAATTTGCTATTCTCTATAAAGACACTTTATAAAATTATTTGGAAATTTCCAAATTCTCTTTGGAAATTACAAGTTTCTAATTTTTTTCACTTATATTTGCAATAGAGGTCTTTGGTATTGATGGTTTAAGGGCATTGTAATGTACTTATTGAGAATTTTGCTAGGGAGAACTGTTTGCTTAAGCTATATCTGTATCTCAAATAGAGAATTCAGTAGATAAATGTACTAATACTAAAATTTACTTACCCTGTATAAGTCATTGTTTGTCAAGGAAAAGGGCAAGTTGGATACATACACTGTGCTCTTACTTGGAGCCAATCCACCACTCATTTCTAAAAAGGAAAACAAATAAACCCATAAGCAATCTCAACCAGGTATTCTTCAGTCCAAATAAAATCAACACAGTATTGACAATCACTGATTTAATTATGCCAGATTTATATACCTTCCTTACATTTTAGGAGGGTAGGAGCAATGACTCCAGCTGGGTTAATTAAGGAATTCCTTTTCTCCATCCACCACTTAAAATAATTTTTTAGTCCTTTTTCTTTCAAGAAGATTCTTTACACTAACCCTTTCAGTGCCGGACTGTGTGTGTACAGAGAGGGGGATTTTAAACAGATGAAGGAAAAATCCTCTTAACCTTCCCTCAGCCTAAGAGCAGAAAAGTGCTTTCAGATATGTACACTACTTTGCCCACCCAGGTCAGAAAGAGCCTGGGGGCTCTAAAAGAATCTTTGCCACTGATTTTTTGCTAATACACAGTCATGCATTGCTTAACAAAGGAGATACATTCTGAGAAATTTGTCATTAGGCGATCTCGAGGTCCTGTGATCATCATAGAGTGTACTTACAGCAACCTAGACGGTATAGCCTATTGCTCCTAGGCTACAACCCTATATTGCATGTTAATGTACTGAATACTGTAGGCAGTTGTAACACTGTGGTAAGTATTTGTGTATCTAAACATAGAAAGGTACAGTAAAAATACAGTACAGTGTATTATAATATTACCACCATGGTTTATGCGGTTCCTCATTGACCTAAACGTGGTTATGCTGTGAATGACTATACTGCGATTGGGTACCTTTTTTGGCTCTCTTACTATATTTCCCCGCAGTGGTGTTAAGAGGAAATTTTAGCCTCACAAGAACCATGTGAAGTTTTATTGAATCGTTAATTTTGCATAGTATTGCCAAATTATGAAATGATACATTATTTAAATAGGTTCGGTGCATTGAAAGGATATTGACCTATATATATATATATATATTAAGTTTACAAATGTAATCCGTAATTTTCACACCGTATTTTACAAATTCAGCTGTATCAAACTCAACCAAGTTCAAATTTCCGATTTAAAAAGCGCGTGTGGTATTTGAGATGGGGATATGAACTACTACAAATGGCAAAATACTGATTCTAAGGCATGCCAGTTTGCAAAGTAATGAGAAAATTGCTTGATGCTTGGTGTTCTGAAGGAATAATTTAGAAAACTTCAGGAACTCAACATCGTCGATAGGTTGCTTTTTAAGTTTCTCGTTTGAAACTATACGTTAGACATTCTGGTGAGAAGTGTGAGGGCAAGCAAAGGTTAAGGTCCTGGAATAAAAAGAGGGGGAAATCGTTTTGGCTACCGGGTCTGGGGAGGGGGCTCGCAGGAGAAAAGGCCACAGCTAAGGAGGCGTTTACCTTCAGGTGGGGCGGGTCCAGGAGGAGAGAAGAGCGCGAGCCCTCGGCTCACCTTGGGGCTTAACCCCGACTCTTCCCTATCCCTCGCAGAGGCCTTGGCATCACGGGTCCTAGGAGGGGTCAGGCACGGAGATGAGATCGTCGCTTCAGCAGTGCCTCTTCCCGGCTTTGAGAAACCTGGGCCCCGGAGGCGGACCCAGAGGCGGGCGCTTTTGCTAACGTCATTGAGCGCGCCGGAAGTGCCTACCTGGGATAGCGGCGGCGAGGGGCAGACTACGTTTACGGGTTTCCCGGTGGCCCAGAATCGGTGAGCGCATTTTATCTTTATGAGAGGCAGATGGGACGGGCTCCGGGGCTGCCACATTTGGGGGAGCGGGCGGGAGTTTTCCGTGGTGGATTCTGGAGACTCTGCCGCCTTGGAATCGTGCAACAATCCTGCCCATGCGGTTGAGGGTGGAGAGACGCAGTGGAGTTTGGAATAAAGGAAAGTGTTGAGTCTAAGATACAGATTCGCTTCTCTTCAGCGCCTTAACATGCAAAAAGAAGATTGAGCTAGGTAACTTCAGTGACCCTAGACCCGTCAGGAAGTCGGTAATTTTACTGAATAAGTTCAACGTACCCAGGTTGGTATTAGGCACGTTGGGAGCTACAAAAACGCAAAACAGGTTTTTTTTTTTTTTTCCTGGCGGAGATCTCAGTCTAGTTGGGGAGTCAAGGCCAACTTGGGGAGAGTTGGATTCACAAAATGACTCATCTTGAGTATTGGTATGGACAAATGTTTAACTTCTTGGCACCTTTTCTCTTCCTGTAAGTCTATAATGGGCACGCACCGCTTTTTCTCTAAGGGGCCGTAACAGTCCTATCATTCCTACAGAAAAATCAGAAAATAATGCAAGGTAGTTTATACTTAACTTCTACCCACCAGCACATACAGACCAGGCCTCTAACCACTCCCTGGGAGCCTGCGTGCCAGCAGCCTGGAACCCAGAGCCTCTCGCGGAGCCTGCACAATGAATCCTGACTGAAGCCGATGTCTTCTAGAGAGACGGAAGCGCAACCCAACCAGGGCGCAGCAGAATTTTGAGAGGCCTGAATGCCTCCGCGTCCGCCAGGGGACCACTGGGACTAATTCTCTGGGCAAACTTGTGGCCTGCCAAACCTACCATGCTTCACATCCCTGTTATCCTTGGTTACCGCCCAAGATGTAAGCCCCTTTGCTCTTCTGTGCTATACCCCTCATCCCCATGCTGCTTTGTGCTTCCTCCCCTTTGACTTAGGCTATCACTGCTTCTCCTTTTCTTCCCATCTCACTCCTCAGTGCCCCAGCTGTGCTCTTTGAAACTTCTATTCCTTGCTTAACAAACTCTTTTACATATTCAGCTTCTTTACTGAAATTCTGTTTCATCTCCTGACCATAACTACTAACACACGGCTTTTCCTGCCGGCTGTTTCAGTTGAGCCCATTCTCTTGACACGTACCTTTAAGCTTGAGCGTGGCTGTAGCCATATTGAACTGATTTAACTTTCTCACAATACTTTTTTCTCCCCTCGAATGTCTTTGCAAAGGCTCTTTTCTTTCTCTGGGACATTTGATCTCCGTGTCCCCTCCTAATTCTTTCTGGATAACTCCTACTCTTGCTAAAGATCTGAGTTTAGCTGTCACTTTATCTGAGGGGTATTCCCTAACTTCTACAGGTAGAGTTAGGTATCCTTGCCGTGTGCTCTCAAGTGCCCTATACTTCCCTGATAGTGTTCAATACGTGTGTCTTAAATTGCTTGTCTCTTTGCCTTCCCTACTAAGCTAGGCTGTGGGAGAAGGGACCGTGTTTGTCTTATTTATCTTTGTAACTCCAGTGTCTAATACAGTTCCTGACACATAACAGGCAGTCAGGTATTTCTTGAATGGTTGCAGGTGCTGAAGGTAATGGTCTCAGGTCAGGCAGTTAACAATGAATATTTAAGAACCTGTGGAAGGGGTCAGCTGCCACTCAGCTACAGCTGATTGTGGCTGTGTGAGGATGTGAGCCCAGTGCTGCCAGAACATCTACTTTTTTCAAGAAAAGTTGGGAATACAGTTTTTAAATGTTGTAAGTGGAATAAAATTTTGTTTTAAAAGACATGGGTCTGGCCGGGTGGGGTGGCTCACGCTTGTAATCCTAGCACTCTGGGAGGCCAAGGTGGGAGGATCACCTGAGGTCAACAGTTCAAGACCAGCCTGAACAAGAGTGAGACCCCATCTCTACTAAAAATAGAAAAAATTAGCCTGGCGTGGTGGTGTGGTGCCTGTAGTCCCAGCTACTCGGAAGGTTGAGGCAGGAGGATCACTTGAGCCCAGGAGTTTGAGGTTGCTGTGAGTTAAGCAGACGCCACGTTACTCTAGCCCCGGCAACAGAGCAGACTCTCAAAAAAGAAAAGGAAAAAAAAAAAGACATGGGCCAAATACAAGTCACATGGGACCTTCAGTCACCAGTTTGCAATCTGTTTTAAATTTTGTAGGGTTCATATAATGAGCTTTGTGTAGAATAATAGATTTTGAGCTGAGCCTTGTTGGATTCTTGCGTGAATGAGAGCATGGAAAGAGATATTCCAGTCTGGGAAATAAATACCTCCAGAGTAGTGTATGTTACTCTGTGGCACAGTGAGGAGACTAGCATGAATGAAGCTTTTGGGGAGAATGGGTGGGTTAGATGAAATGATAAAAGGAGGCATATGAAGGACAGATAAGTATGTATTTATTATGGTTAATTACAAACCTTTGGATTCTTGATCACAGAAACTTCACATTATGAATATGCGTTAACAGGTTGATGAGTATCCTTTTTTAGGGTGAAACAGAGGATGAAACACTGGTAGGAGGCTACCAGTTAAGACCTTAACCTCTATCCAGTTATGAAATAAGATTTAAATTATTATACATAGGCAAACATCTGGCATTTTTACTTACGTGTGTAATTTGCAGTTAATTGATCACTTATAATAGATAATCAGGAATCTCCTACTAAGTATTTAATGCAGTAAAGTGGGGCTTATTAAAAGTATTAAAGCATTGAAAAGTAAAGTGACTTGTGAAACCAGTAGAGCATGCAGTACCTTAAAAGTGCTCAATTATATGGTTCATCATGGAAACAGTTAGTGGTCTCTTTGCCTCTAGCCTCTTTCTCCTCTGATCATTCTTGCATACTGCTATCTTCTGGAATGACATTTTTCCCCCTCATCTTATTTCCAGGCTTAAGAGCCTGCAGTGAGAAGCTTCTTGTCTAGCGTTTCGCTTTTGTACCATTTAAAACGCTTGAATCTGTTCTCTCTGTCCTTGCCTGTGTCCTTTGTGAAGCAGTGTAGTAATGATGGAAAGAGCTTGGGCTTTAAAGTCATGCAAGCCTGAGTCTGACCCCAGCCTCTATTTGGCTCTGGGATTTAAGCTTTTAGAGCTTCCATGTTTTTATCTGGAATGTCAGAGACAGTATCTCTCTCATTAGGGTTGTGTGGGTAAAGGGTTTATATATTTTGAAAGTGTATTACACAAATTCTTGCATATAGGGAAGGAAATGAACACTCCTCAAACATGTATGTAGGTTGATTGCCCACTCCTTTGCAGTGCAAATCTTTTGCTCTTGCTCAGTTCTATCTTCTTTCTCATGTACTTTCTGTCTTCCCTACTACCTTTGCCTTTTTTTTGATTCTACTATTCACTATTGTCCATCTACATTTAAGCAATCTTTCAAGATTCTGTTTACATTTTCTTAGTTTTCCTAAAGGCTTTCTTAACTACCACTGCCTGCATTTATCTCTCCTTGAGCACTGAACAATGCTGAATTCTAGTAGATACTTTGCTCTGTTTTGACCATTTTAGTTTGGCATCAATGTTAATTTTTTTTCAAAAACCTAAACTAATTATGTTGTAAAAGTTATTTTTAATTTAGCTGTCTGGAATTTCAAACAGTTCTGGTGGAAAATTAGAATATTAATAAACTCTGAATACTGACCACATGCATTGTACTAATTGTTCTAGGTGCTTAATATTAATGAACAACTGAGATCCCCACTTTCTTACAGCTCATATTTCTAGTAGTGAGGGACCAATAGTATGCATTAAATGTAAATTATATAGTATCTTAAATAACTAGTGCTGTGAAACAATAGCATGATTAAGAAGATCTGGCAGTAAGTGACATGAAGAAGGTGACACTGAAGGGTGAGGAAGTTAGTCATGCAGATACCTATAGAACAATATTCCAAGCAGGGTATTGCAAGTTCACAGTATGAGGTCAAATGGACTTTTCTATTAACTACCTGTGGTTTGGCTATCAGTAGTTGTTGAATGAATTTAAAAAGTGAAAGGAATGGGTTTGGAGAAGAGGGAAAGCTATTTATCCTGAGTGTATTTAATAATAGAAGCTGACTACTTCAGAATGCAGTTACTCTGTAGCCTAAGCTGTTATTAGAACCAGTTTGGATAACGTGAAAAAGCAGATCCGTTACCTTGACTTTGGATTCAAAGTGTGAGTGGTTTGACAAAAGGATATTGCCCGTGACTTTGTTTTCTCAATTTCCATGCCACTTTCCTTTAGGATGCAAGTCCTCCATATCCTCTCAGACCTCAGTTGAAGCTAACATTAATAATGGTTGGGTAGCTTAATAGAGTGCTCTAAGAGAGGCTTATTTTTTTTTCCTGAAATTAAATATGCCATGATGATACATTAAACATACCCTTTTCATTGACTATAGGATTTAAAAGAGTGAGATTTTTATAATCTGGAACCAGTTGCTAGCACACTTCTAAATGAAGCTTGCATTCTTGACACTGAATTATAGTTATATTGTCTACTTACTTGTGATGTAGAGGGTACTTCCATTTTTCTGTTATATTCTCCAATTTGCATATTCTATTGGCTTAGAAAACTTTTGTAGAGTACTTTTGAGACTCCACTAATGTGAGGAAACTTAGTGAAGTGATCACACAGGTAAGTAGCATGATCACTCACTGGGAGTCAGAAAGAACACTTTTGTATAAATGTAGCTGATTGGTTGTGGGATGGGTCAGTTTCCTAAATGTGGATAATGTCATAAACATGTCACTAATCAGAAGGTGGTTGTACTTATCAGCTATTTTAAAATCCTTTGAAATTTACAGGGTGCTATTTGAATTTAAGGTGATGTTAATGTATTCTCTCTCCCCTGATTACTGTATAGTACTTTCATCATCATATCCTCTTCCTATAATAGCTGTTCCCTTTTCTGTTGTTATAATTCAAGATCCAGCTTAAGGCCCATCTTCTTTACAGCCCAGTATTCTTCCTTTTCTTTTGT